GTGGTTGGAGGGTGCTCTGGTGTGGTTTGCTTCTTCTTTCCTACCGAGCATCTATCGTCTTTATCTCCCCTCCTTCTTTGTTGTGCTTCTTATTCTCTTGTGACACCTCTAATCTACGGCACAATACAGACAGACATACACATTCACAATGAGATAGAGGAAGATTGAGGTTGAGAGATACAACTTAGAGAGAAATAGGGAGACAGTTGGGTTAGATAAAAATACAAAAGTGGTTCAAGATGTCACACCCCCCCTCCTCCTCAGTGCGTGGATTAATAATGCAGGCTAGTTGTCATGTTTTAGTTCAAACTTGACCCCCCCCCCCCCTCCCCCCCCCCCCCCCCCTTTCCAATTCCCTAAAGAGGAATAGGCAGAAGTTGAAAAAAAAATCTTAGATAACTTTCAATTCAAAAACTACAGTTTACGTAATTTCCTTTTTTTTAAGCGTAGTACTGTGTTAGCCACTAAGTTCAACCCAGAAAGTAACCTATTGCTAGACATAGATCTACCGTTTTCTTAGCCATCCTTCTGATTTGAACGGAGTGTTACACCCTTGTGCCACTGTGAGGCCCAGTACTTCCGACTTCCACTTCCACAAGGGAGGGAGTGGGGAGGGGCCGTTTTGAGTTGTGGAAGACCCAAAAAAAATGTGCTTTTTATAAGTGAGAAAAAGAAAAACCATTCGGAAGTTTTGTTCCGTGCCTGATACCAAATGAAAGAGTTGAGGTAATAAGAAACCAAAAACTAGGATGAAAACAAAAACACTTTGTAAAGGTTGAGAAGAAAATACTAAAGGTCACTGTGCGTGTTTACATTGTCAGCTCAGTAATGTAATTCTACAGTCACAAGCATCTGCCAAAAAAGCATGGATATTGTTCACACCATCAACTCTTGAAGTGTCCGTAAAGAAAGCCCAATTTTATATATTTGTGGACTCTACCCTGAGTTATGAAAACGAGATAGTATTGGTACACAAATTAAGTGCAAGATAGCTGTTTATCATCAGAAATTGCATTGGTACGTTTAGAGTTGGATAACAAAAAAATCTTATAACCAGAACAATCAGACAATCCAGAGCCCAAACTAAACAATTAAAACGAAGCCTTACCTGGTCCACGTAAAGTACATCATTGTTTGGACCTAAACATTGTTGCAAACATTGTGGTGGAAGCGAGGCTGCCACAAAACTCAAGAGAATGAGAGACTTTAATAAGAATTTGTCAACGAACACAGTGACCATAATGGAATTGATTTAAATGGAAAGAAAAGCCAAATGGAAGACATAAACAAATGCAAAGAAGATGTTATATGAAGAATTGTGAGGAAGAAAAAGTAAGAAAGCAATTTTAATTACGACGAAGCCAAGATCGAAGAGAATGAGATAATTCCTGAGATTTTAAATTGCATCATAGAAATTGAAAAGGATACATTTCATCTGGAAAGCACTTAGCAATGATAAGGAAAAAAAAGAATTCTAAGAAGTATTGTATTCCCACCGCAATATTAAGAAGCAACGACCATCAAGAGACAAGAAGACTTTAAAAAATATACTGAAGACAGAAACTAAATAGGCATATGGAGGGAATTATGTACAGAAACACCAACACTTCTTCAGAACATAATGACAATGAACCTAAACTATTTTGAACATATCAAATAGAATTATTCATCCTAGAAATGATATGTTCTAAGAGCAAAGGTAAAAGGCAAGAGAGGAAGGGGTTGGTTCAACAGAAAATGGGAGTTGTGCTCAGAAACAGGGTACGGAATTAAAATTAAAACAGTTCAGGCATGGAGAATGATAAAGAGTCAGAATGTTTGATTGCAGAAAGGCTCAAGAAGCAACGTCCATCAATTCAAAAAGCTAAACAGGGAAAGATGAAGGGACAAGTAGGCGTGAGGAGAGAGTCACAAGATAGAGGAAAGAATAGGGAGGGGGATAGGAAGGGCAATGGAGCTGGGTCTAAGCTAGTGGTAAATCACGTTCACCGTTACAGCTTCGCTGGACTGGTCAGTCTGCGCCAGTTTCGGAGAATAAGGAAACGCACTCGAGTATGTCATCTTCCTCCGTACACAACCTGTCAACAAGCTGTGGTGGCTGTAGAGACGAGGAAGGCAAGCATTCCTCCGAGCTTGAGCTCCAGGATTGGACGTCCTCTTGATCGCCGCTTCTTGGTCTACGGAATGGTCTGTTGATAAGACACTGACCTGCGAGGCCATACGACACGTGGATGACCGGTGTCCAGGTGACGCGATACGTGGAGGCTTCTACAATGTGAGTCGCACAATCATCGCGGGAGCTTTCCGGCTGTCCAGAGTCCGACTCGCTATCCCAGCTGATGGGTAGCGACAGGTGTAGATCTTCGTCATGGTGCATCGCCGGTGTCCTTGTGGAACCATCTCTACTGAAAATAGAAAAGTCACTAGGTGAGTCAGACAGTTCTGCTCCTGTATCTTTTACTTTACTTCCTGGTCCTTCAATCTGGCATGACCACCACGAGGGCATTCCGGTGGTTCTTCGTTCACCTCGCTGGAGCAGCTGCCATGCAGGGAGAGATGGAGATCTGTAGAGTGTCTTGAGTCCAGCTGGCTGCTGCTTTCTTCCCTGCAAACTACAACAAGTGGAGAAACAAGACAAGAACAGTTTACGGACACGCTTCATCGCTGGGCTTAAAACTAACCACCAGTCGTACCTTAAAAAGAAAAGACCTGCGATTGAGCTTTTGGGAGACTTTATTCCTCAATTCCTCACACTGTTTCTCTTTCTCTCTTCACTTACCAATACAAAGAGAACAAGTGGTGCAAACACTCAAACGCAAGCGCCCTAAAACACTTACCCCAAAAAAAAAACCAATCAGGAAACAAATAAACAAACAAACAAAAGAACAAACAAACAAACAAGAAACTAAATAACAAACCAATTAAACTAACAAAAAACAAAAACACTCAAACACAATTATGTCTAAATTAAACGCACTACAAAATGCACACGATCAAAACGGATGTTGAAAACTACAGGAACTTGAAAATAATCAAAACAATGCAACTTTACTCAAACTTTGTGGATTTGTCGATGCAGGAAATCTTTTTCTTCTCACGAAATAGCAATCACGTCTTGTCGAAATCAGTCACTCAAGCGGAACAATTTCCGTTACCAAGCGGCGTCATAATGTCACGTGACTGTGCTGGTTCCTAAGAGAATGTTCTTTGGCGCTGAGCAACGATTCTCAACTTGCTTTGTAATTTTTCCCCCTTTTTTTAAAGTTAGATATCTAGATCTGCCCTCTATTTTTTGCTAGAATCTAGATTGATTTATTTTCTGTTTATTTAGATTTTAAAATTATTTCTACTTATATTTTCATGTTTTTCTTTTTGTGGGTGGAAAGAGTAATCGTTTTTATGATTATCACCATGCTCACACTTATCTTCAAATTCGATTTCATGAATTCTATGTGTCTCTTTTGAATGCACCGAAATCACGAGGCTGGATATGTGTGTGTAAAATACTATCTTAAAGGATATTTTAAGATAGATGGAAAATGGAAAAGATAATGAAAATAACAATACAGTCAAACCTGTGTAAGACAGCCACCCATTGTCAAGGAGAACAGTGACCGTATAAGACAGGTGGCCGTCTTAGGCAGGACTGATCAAGATGAAGAAAACAAACCATTCCCATCTGAGGTCCTCATCGAAAGTAGTCGCATTGTTGTTGTTTTAGTTGTTGTTGGTGGTAGTGGTGGTGGTTTGTATTTTGTTTGTAATTTTTATTTTGTTCCTGATTTTGCACAAGGGTGACAATAAAATGAAATGTATCAGACGAGGAAGACCGAGTGCCAGGTTAAAACAAACGCATGGGTCGCAACAACTCGGAGAGCGAGCAACGCTTCTGTCACAAGTTCATGTTGACGTCCTTTGTTACATTGTTACAGACTGGGTAAACAGTGACCACTCATCTCACTTACGATTTGTGTATGAGTTCTGGGCGGGGCTTATGGGTTATGAGGGATCACACGCTTACCTCACCAGCAGCTGAAAATTGGTAGCTACTGGTCAACAGTGGGAGGGGCCTACGCAACATGATCGGTGGGAGGGACTACCTAACAACAACGAGAGGTGATTGAATTATGACGGCTCCCCCACAACGCCAGGGGCCTGAGAAGGAGCCAGGGGTCAAAGCACAATTTATGACAAAACGTAATGGAGCCACTAAGGTGGCCGTCTAAGACAGGTGTTATTGCTTAGTGTGATAGGGGTTGTGTGTTAAAATGGGTGGCCGCGGCCGCGTTGGACAGGTGCCCGTTTTATACAGTTAAATTATACATAAAAAACGAAAGGGGGGGATGGAAAGTGGCCGTTTGTACAGGTGGCCGTCTTATAGAGGTGGCCGTCAGGGCAGGTTTGACTTGTATATATATATATATATATCCCTCTCTCTACTTCCCTCGCTTTCTCTCTCTCTCTCT